TCTACACAGTTTACTAGGGACAAATTCAAATTTAACTATGGAAACATACCACCGCCATGAAATCAGCCAGACAACCGGCCACCCCTGCAATCGCCCGTACTCACGATGTTTGCCCAATGTGCGGAGCCACAACAGCTGGGTGGATCTCCTTCCCTGCGGGTTCAGTCCGGAAAGCCAAAAACAGATCGTTTTTCGTGTGTGTCGCCTTTTTTCTATACACAGTGACCAGGTTTCTTCGCATTTGCAAATTAATCTAAATCAAGGTATTCGTCGTCGCACGGCTACACTTATAAAGAGAACTTCTATACGTGGATGGTGGAAATATATTAAACACTTGGGTGGACGCAGACCCTATCCCTATTTCACCCCCCCCCCTCAAATGTAGGAAGGGAGCTCTCCATGTGCATGAGCTCCCATGCTCTATCCCCCCTGATTCTAGGCCATATCGCGCCGTTAGACCCAGTTGAAATTAACTCCTGTTTATGCTTGAAGACCATAGACCAGTCTCTTAAAAAGAAGACACTACAATCAGTGTCTACAGGTTAAGACATCTATCTATAACCACGTCCGACTCGAGCTATTAATATTATTAGCTCAAGTCGGACGTGCTTTAACCTACAAAGAGCTGTGCTAAGATCACATCGTTGTTTTTGTGTCTTTGCTTTTACCCCAAACAGAGCAAGTTATATTGCACCCCACACCTTCCACACACAACCCACACACACCTTTATTTCCTCTCTCGCTCATCCTGGTCTTAAAATCGATTTTTTTTTTCTGTGATAATAAATAAACTAAAAATAGCAGGCGTTTTATGAGCTAGATTCTCGTGTTACAGATCATATTACGAGGGAAAATCAAAGATTAGACAGTAAAATGCTTATGGCCTGACAAACTGTTAGCAGAGTAAAATGCTCTAAAAACATATTTGCTATGTATCGAATATATTTGTGGTGAAAAGGGTAGGACGGCTGCCGCCCACTCCATTCGGTTTTCGGTAAGTAAACGGATGTTTCGTTAATCCTAGAGCTTCTTCGAAATCGGAGCGCCTCTGCGTGAGAGACAAAGAAGCAACCGTCTACATACACATAAGCCAGATCTGCAAAACGGATGTGCACGTACAACTCAAGTTCTGGATCAGGATTTAAGTCCAGCAATGTACGAACAACAAAAAATTTCCGCCGGAGTTAATGGCCGATAAGCGCGAAGAAGAAGAAGTCGCTGAAGTCACACAGCTGCGTGCTGTGTGCGACATCATCATCGGAGCAAATAGTTGTATCCGTAGAGAGGTCGAGTAATTAGTAATNCCTCTAAATAACATCGTTATATCAGGGAAACTCTACCCGTGTGTTGCTGGAGGATATTTGTTTGAACATGTTATGTTCCACAAAATGTCATGAGAACCGTAAGCGATTCCTCGAAGCTCAACGACAGTGTTTCTGTTATAGATAATGATAACAAGTCTCACATCTACATGTTAACAAATGTGAGTAATTGAGAGACTAGATTATATATCATCTGTCGCCTTATTTTCAAATAATGAAGCTAGTGAGCAGGAAAAGCTAATTCTTCTTTGACACTTGTAAGATCCTTGTCGTTGATTTATGTCAACTATTTCTGTACATCTTTGCCATTGACGGTCAGACATATAATTTTCAAGGGTTGTATAGAGTTAATAATTGAGGTCCAAAGAGGGAAAACATATCAACATATTGCATAGACATTGTTTGAGAGGTTGCAGAAATGTCGTTCGATAAAACAATACTGACAAGAAAGCTGACAAGGTTTTAGTGGTAAGATGGCGAAGCCGTTTGCCTCGTATTCTGAAGATCGTGGTATGTTTTCAGAAGTGCATCTTTGTCGTTCACGAGTACAATTTATAAGGAAATCAACAAAGATCCACGAAAGAGCTACGGAGTTCGTGCTTTGTGCAATACTCTCAGAGGAATGACTAACTGTCTGTTGAGAGAGACAGACGATAATATGGTGAAACTAGGTGCAATTCATTCAATTATCTCACCTTCAAATCTTTTTTTTTTTTAATGACAAACAAGAGTAATGAAGTGGTTTTGAAAGCAATTAGCCCGAATGGGCGGATATGCAGATGTAATGATTTTAGTCCTGGTAAGTTTTTCCACTTCTGACAATAGTTATCTGTAGCATTTTACTCCATGTATAGACTGAAAGAATATAATTCCGTCGCCCAGCTACTGGAGTAATTGAAACAAAGCGACACTGTGAGCGTCTGGGATGCTTTCTGATTGTGTCCAGCATGGTTTAGATTGTGAACTGCAGATTCAGGAAGCGGCGAGCGGACTTTTGCCATAAAATATGTGGTGCCTTTTGCGATTGATTGCGTGTGCAATTAATCATCTGTTGTAGCTGCTGCTGTCATTGATGATGAGCTGTATTTCTATTTTTTTTTTTTTTTTTTTGTACTTCTGATTGTTATCTTATACATTTTAATGCGTGTGTATACTGTAGGATATGCTAAGATTTGCAGTGTGTCGATATTCTGTCGGAAAAATGAGATATAGAAAAGGTGCCAATACAACCGCCTGAAAAAAGCCCTTACTACTACCACGACGACGACTACTACTACTACTACTACTACTACTACTACTATACTACTACTACTACTACTACTACTACTACTACTACTACTACTACTACTACTATATTATTATTATTACTACTATTAATACTACTACTTCTACTACTACTACTACTACTACTGCTGCTGCTGCTGCTGCTACTACTACTACTACTACATTTCACAAAGGGAATGAGGAAGGGAATAATTCAAAGATAAACATTACAACTAGCCATCTTGAGACATTAATGTCCTTGCGACGTTGAAAGTATTTTAGTGATGTGGCGGAATAGAGGAATCGACCCTTCTTTTAAAGTTGGAGAGCGTTTGACTGATACACAAGAAACCAAGAGCTGCCTATAAATTATTCAGACAGGTCTAAAGTCAAGATGTGGATCAACAATAAAAACCCACCCAGTTACAGTTAATCGACGAGTGAAAGTCCAGTGTGGAAGGTGGCACATGTCTGTATGACTAACTTTCTACCCCACCAGGACATCACACAAGCGATAAACACCCAATGACACAATGTGCTACCATGTGGATCAACAATAAAAACCCACCCAGTTACAGTTAATCGACGAGTGAAAGTCCAGTGTGGAAGGTGGCACATGTCTGCCAATCCAGCAAGTTTATGTCTGGAGAAGGACGTTTCAAAACAGCGTGACTTCTGTGACAAACCGTATCAGACCCACCGAGTAGTGACGCCTGAGTTGATTGCAGTTGATTGCAGCACTCATACGGGATTCGCCGTGATGTAGCCGCTAGACACTCACCTGCAGATCGGAAGGCCGTGGGTTCGGTCTTGGCGGAACCTGACTTTGTTTCAAAAATGACTTTGGCTTCCAGTTCGACGCAGCCCTAAGTGAGTACAGAGGGGCAGTCCTGGAAAGTAAAGGCGGCCAGCGTGATAATGACCACATAACCAACCAAGTGCCGATCTAGGTAGTATAGTTCTATCCACGTGTGCCCAATACGCCTGAAGACATACAAAAAGGTCTTTTATTTTCCTTTATAAACTCAAGCCATATACTTACCGGACTGACAGGCAGCTTGTCTTCCTGTATCTCTATTTCCACAAATCTTTAAAGCGGGAACTCCTTGCGATTTTTCTTTCCTCTAACATGGCCTAAATAAAATGATGACTATCTCTTTATGTTGTTGGTGATCAGTTGTTGTCGGGCTTTCACCTCTTTTAAAACATCTGGGTTACGCATTCTAGCTGTCCAATTAATTTAGAGAATTGAGACATTTTTTTTTTTTTTTGGCAAACAAAAAAATATATTTTATACTGCTAAAGACTGCAACAGTTTGTGATACAGGAAAGCCAATCTATAACAGTGTTGCCACTTTGAATATTTTACATCCAGAATTAGATATTTTCCTTTGCATTTAGATGGCGTTTTTGACGTTTAGATGGTAGAAGTTTTTCTAGAAGTTTTTCATTTGGAGTGAATTTATCAAATGTACCCTAAGAAACAGGATGAAATTGGACCTTTTAAATGCTATTTTGACAATAAAATTCGGCCTGATAAGAGTAGAAAAGACTGTTCCTCTTATCAGCTCCTTGTTTGGGTATTAAAAGAAATTGGAACAGCTAAAGCATTCCAAAGTCATTTTGGATCTGAAGCTTCAACTTTATCATCCAAGCTAAGTTTACCATATGGATCTTGTAAGGCAGACTTCAGTAAAGATGAGGACACGATTCAATCAATCAATCAGGTGCCGTCTCGACAGTGAAGGTTGGCTGCAATGGATCTCCAACAAGCCCTGTCTCTTGCCCTTGATGTACACTCACTCATACTGCTGTTCGTCCATCTCTTGATGTTATCCTCCCACTTGTAACGCGGTCTGCCTTTTGCTCGCCTACCTTGAACCTTTCCCTCTAGGATGATCTTTACAATACTGTTATGTCTTTTAATGTGGCCAAAATATTTCACTTGTCTCTGTTTTATTTCACCTAGCAACTCTCTTTTCATTCCCAATTTCCTCAGTACCTCTGTATTTGATAGCTTTTGTTTCCAAGAAATACGACCTAATCTTCTGTATATCCACATCTCCAAAGAATTGATACGATTTTCCAGTTGTTTGTTCATTGTCCATGTCTCTGTGCCGTACAGTAAAGGTGAGAATACATAACATTTGACAATTCTTATTTTTAATGTATTGCTTATTTCTCTTGATGATTCTAAAGGGCAAGTCATATCAATTGCTTTGTAATTTGTGATTGTTTCCATTTGGATGTGTTTTTTTCTAAATGTTTTCCACGCAAATTTAGATGTTTTTAGATATTTTTGACTCTGTTTTGAATTTTTTTTTTTGCAAAGAAAAGTGGCAACACTGATCTATAAAACTAGCAGCTGATCACGTTAGACTGTAAATTTCTAACTACAAGTTCTCAAAGTTGTTTATGATGAATAAAACATCACAGTCAAAAAAACCTGCGAGACCCCAGACCGTTGATATAATCATCAAATTTGGGGGAAGCGCCATCACCGACAAAACTTGCTTCGAGACATTGCGACCGGCCCAGTTGGCGGCAGCAGTGGATTGTGTCCGTCTGTGTGTTGAGAATGGACTTTCATGTATCGTTGTTCACGGTGCTGGGTAGGTACTTGTGCTCGTTTAGTAATCACTTACGCTTCATTTATGTAGTTTCACAAGTGAATCTTCAATTAGGTTTGGTAATTTAGATTCCTAATTCTTCATATTGTGAGTGTGTGGTTTTTTTTTTTCTCTCTGTCTCAGGTTTCCAATCCATTTCCTCAGTTTCTAACAGTTAACACAATGAAAATTAAATTGGCAAAGTTAAGGGTGGGATGATCAACTTCGTTGCATCGGTTTTTTAATTTCATCCAGACAGATGAGTTGAGACTGACATTACGTCACATGGGACATTTCCATAATTACCCCCCCCCCCCCCCTTTTTTTTTTTCCTTTTCCCATTTTTAGCAGACAGTGCTAAGTTCCAGTTGTAGCACTCAGATTATATGTCTGACTGTCATGACTTTCCTCTCGGTGTGGACCAGATTGCCAGGTCATTCCCCTATTCCCCTCTGCGCCATTCACTCCACACAATAATGAGCTAATTCTGTTTCTGAACTGTTTATGTGGTGGAAAAAGGTTAAAGTTAAGAAAAACCATGATTTTTTTTTCTGTGGAGATTACAGCTGATGAATGATAAAAAGGTGTAAAAGACCAGCTCCCAAATAACCATGACCACATCTTGCATCAGTTTACCACCAAAAATCTGTTTGCCTGTTCTTTTGCCCACTTTTTAACATCACCTGCAGAAGAGATCCAAAGCATGATGACTACCCTGTGGGGGTTGATCTGTCTCTGCTCAGCCACTGGCCACGTAGGTAGATCATTCCTCAGTGAACTCCATGGCCCTTCTACAACCCACCACCATCATATCCTGAATATAGATCATTAAAAAAATGAAAAATTGTGCTCAAAAACAGAATGTTGTCTTCTTAAAATGATTACACCGCCTTTGAAATCAAAACATTTAGCTTGACTATGTTACAGCTGAGACCCAAAAGTGGTGATGAACTATCATGTGCTCTTACAATCCATGTTTGACTTTACAAGTTAATAATAATATCTTCTTCCTTGTTCATCACCTGTGAGCTCTGGCAGAACGTTCTGGTTGTTCGTCGATTTAGACTATGGCTTTATGCCAGGGCCTGAGTTTTTTGTGTACATCTGTTTTACTAGCTTTTTTGTATGCAGTTGGTTGTTCCTTGCTGCTCGGGAAGATGGACTCTGACTTTGAAGGAATCTTCCAATTAGTTGACTCTCACAACATGCTTTTTGAGTAGCATGTGGGTCTTTTCTTGTTTTCCCCACATGGGGCCCAGGAACAAGTTAATATAATTTAATATTTATGAGACAAGGCTGTCTCTAATTATAATCTATTAATTTATCTAACTGGAATGGAAGAACATATCCGTTCTTTTCTTCTGTAGATCATTTGGTCATCACCAAGCAAGAAAGTTTCAGATCAACACAGGGTTTGTCACCACCCACACAAAGGAGGAACGACAGAACAAAATATTGGGCTATTCTTTAACACGACAGTCTGTTACCAAGGTATGATGAAGACTTTGCTTAAAACTACTTTGTTTGCTGATGTGATTACGCCTTTCTGAGCTGTCACATAGTACAGGTCAACTGCCATTATAAAAAAAACTACTGCCATTATTGACTGCATTTTCCCCCCTCTTTTGGTGATGTAGGCAACAGGGTTGTTTGATTGCTTAGTGAACAAAATCTAGCATATGATTTCACAACGTCTAGTTTGAGAATGGAGGTGGAGGCAGTCACTGCTGCCTTTCACTGGCTTGGGGGATTAGCCATATACACATGCCGGGATTGTCACTTGCTCACAGAGCATGTTGAGAAAGGTGGAGACAAGCATGCTCCGTGCAGAGTGTTAAGCATCACTTCAGAGGTCCTGGGTAGTTAGCGTCCTAAGGATATTTTCTCCAGTGTGTTGGGAAATGAACAGAGAGATAGACTGGCCAGTTCTGCACTACTTGGTGGTCAATTAATGAAAGACAGATATTGTGAGGGCCCTTTGGAAGCAAGTGAACAGTGTGGAGGCACAGATAGATCATTACGGTCTGAGGAAAATGGCACTGCAGGGAGTTCCCAGGGAATCTAGCCAACACTTAATAATCAAGAAAAGGGCAAGATAAATGTACAATCAGACTGTTACCTGTACCATCGGAATTGGAACGCTTCGCTTGCTGCTGAAGATGGGAACGGAAGCGCTTATGGGGGTGTCTTGAGTACTGTGATTCTTGATTCAGCATTCAACCTTTCTGCAGATATTGCCAGATACGGGATGCACTTATCAGGAATATAAAACTCAGATCAAGACAGCTATTAGAACTTGTTAGAACAGTTCTCATCCAGGACACGATCCTGAAGACCCAGGCAGCCTCCTCACAATAAAGGAAACAGACCGTTATATTTAGATTGCATACTGGACACAACAGACTGTACAGGCAATTCAAGACTGGGGATGCAGAACTTTACCTATGTGGACACACACCACATAATACTGACCATGTTTTACAGTCATACTCGCTACCTGCAGTAGAGAGATCCTAGGTTTGGCCAGCTGGCATTTAAATGGAAACCAAATGACAACCAGTATGGAAAAAACAAAGGTATGACAGTTGTATTCAGATTGCGAGATCAGATTTTGCAGATTTGTGTATATTACTGAACATGAAGCATTACACAGACTTGATGACTTATGTCTGGTGGACAAACTTTATTTTCAAAGAGTTAGGCATGGAGGCATGTATTGTGTGCATATTTGTTATACAGGCCTCTCTTATTTGTATGCAGACTATTGGTTTCTTGCATCTTAGGTAGATGCACTCGGACTTCAAAGAAAAACACCCCTGATAAGTCGCATTTTGCAACTTGCTTGTTAGAGAAGCTAGTCTTTTTTTCAGTCCCTCAAGGTAAGGCACCAGAACCCACACAGGAACGTTGAGGGTCTGTCAATCGACATTTATTACTGTATGATAATTGTATAACTACAAAAAACACGACATTCAGTATTTAAAAAAAACTAAGGTATGACAGTTGTATTTTGATTGTAAGATCAGATGTTGCAGATTTAGGAATATTATTGTTCATGGAGCATTGCAGACTTTGTGACTTATGTCTGGTGAACAAACGTTATTTTCAAAGGGTTAGGCATCACGGCATACATTTCCATCTTACATTCCATCAATCGAGGCAACCCGTGCTGTCATTTGCAGCAATGTCTACCGTAGAATTAGAAGAGGATTACAGGCAGTTATGAGACTATAAAAATAACCACCAAGAAGTTATCCTGGAGAACGTGGAAACTTTCACAGGGAAGTGAAAGACTGCCAAAAAGAATAAGAGACTTTTATAAACAAATGAGGAGAATGTCCTGAAGATAGTCATGAGAAAACCAAGAAATATCACAAAGAAACAGGAGACATAAAAGAACTAGGAAATTGTCACCAAGAACTAGGAGACTACTTTATGAGAGAGCCAGGAAGGTGTCACATAGAACCAGGAGACTCTCTGGTTGGCCTTCTCTTTCCAGTTGGTGACACCAAGTGTTTGCAGGTCTGGATATTAACTCTCCATCGTCTTCTTGGTCTGTCTTGTGGTCTACGACCATTCATCTCCCTGGTGTATACAGTTTTTACTTCTCTGTCATGTGACATTCTTTCAGTATGCCCCGATGAGTACCGGGAATGTGTCATAAAAAAACCAAGGGACTGTCATGCGAGCACCGGGAAAATGTCACAAAAAGACTTAAGAGAGAACCAAGAAAGTGTAACACAGAACTAACAGACTGCCATGAGGAAACTAGGAAAAGGTCACAAAGAATAGAAAGTTGTCATGAAAGAACCAGGAAAGTGTCATTAAGAAGCAGGATTCTTTCATGAAAGAACCAGGAAAGTGTCATTAAGAAGCTGGATACTTTCATGAAAGAACCAGGAAAGTATCACTAAGAAGCAGGATACTTTCATGAAAGAACCTGGAGATTATCACCGAGAACCAGGAGATTGTCATGATAGAACCAGCAAAATGTAACAAAGAACCAGCAGATCCTCAAGAGAACTATAAAATATTACAAAGAAGCGGGAGATTACCACAAGGAAAGAGGAAGATGCCACCAAGAATATAGATATTGTCACAAAAAATCAAGAGAATATCTTAGTGAAATTATACAATGCTAAGCTACAGATTACTGTAAAAATAGAACTGAAAAATGAGTGTGTGTTTTGTTTGTCTCACAGTTAGACCAGCTGGTAATCAACCGTTTGATTGAAGGAGGTGTTCCAGCCATTCAGTGTTCAGTAAGTTGGGACGTACTATGACCATTTTCAGTGATACTTTCTTTTAAAATCTCTCTCTCTCTCTCTCTCTCTCTCTCCCCTCTCTCTATGTCTCTCTCTCGCTCTCTCTCTCTTTTTCTACTTGTTATTTGGTTTGATCTGCCCTCCATTGGTTTAAGAATCAGCTTACACACGTCGTAATTTTAACTGACTCACAGAGTATGTTGAGACAGGTGGAGACAGGCATGCTCTATACAGAGTGGAAAGCATTGCTTCAGAGGTCCCGGATAGTTAGCGTCCTTTGGATTTTTTTCTCCAGGTCATGCTGATGTGCTTAGAATCGAGCAGGCGGATAGACTGGCTGGTTTTGCACAACTTGGTGGTGAACTGATGTACGACAGGCTGGATGTTGTGAGGGCTCTTTGGGAGCGAGTGAACAGTGCAGAGGCACAGATAGATCATTACGGTCTGAGAAGAATGGTGTATCTTACTGGAAAAATATTAAATAGGATCATATTGGTAAGACCAAAAGATGCTATTGATAAAAAGCTAAGAGATAAACGGGCGGGTTTCTGGCCAAACAGATACTGTATTGACCAGATAACCCCATTATGTATAATAATAGAGCAGAGCATTGAATTGAACTCACCACTTTACATTGAATTTATAGATTATGAAAAAGCTTTTGACAGTATTGACTGGCAGTCTGTCTGGACAAGGCACATAATGGGATCCCACAGAAAATTGTTAACTTAGTAAAAGCAACGCATAAAGACATGAAATGTTCTTCATGGGGGAAAGCTAGCAGATACATTTGAAATAAGACCACTTATGCGATAGGGATGTCTTTTGTCGCCTCTTTCATTTTTACTGGCAAAAGACTGGATTATGAAGTTAGCAACTACCACTGCAGGAATGGAATTCACTGGATCCTTACAAGACAGCTTAAGGATCTGGACTTCGCTGATGATATTTATCTTCTGTCCCACTCGTGGAATCAGATGCAAGATAAATTGAGTATACTTGATGCCAGATCACAACTAGGTCTAAAAACTGTAATGGAAAAACAAAGATAAAATAAAGGACCTGTTTTTCCTATTTTTGTTACTATTTTCCATTTTGATATTACTTTCCATATTTGTTTCTCCTTTCCATGTTTGTGTCCAGCCAGGCAGCTCATGGGAACTGGACAAGAGGCAGCCAGTAAAGTGGCCCAAGGAGTTGGTGGCTGGGTTTCTTCTGCAGGGTCTCGTCCCTGTCTTCCATGGGGATTGTTGCCTTGATGCTGCTCTAGGCTGCTGCATTCTCAGCGGGGACACTGTTATCAAAGTAATGACCCAGCAGATTCTCTTTCCTTTGGCTTTTGTAAATTTATGTTGACTTAGATCTGATTTCAGAAGGGGGAAATGATCAGTCAGTTCTGCAGTTATGTGGTCTGGAGAATATCATTTAAAGAGACCAGTGTATATTTCGGAATAGAGCTGTCATCCTTTAGAAGAGTATCTTGATGGCTAAAGTTGTATTCTTCTTTTCATCAAGTGCCTTGCAGACTAGCATGGGCGATCATGCCTCTGCACAATCCGCGATCTGCAACTGTGTGTATCAGTTCATGTGCTGACACTCTTCCATGCTATGACAGAAGGCTGTTGATAATCTTCTGACGCTGTCTTTCTCTGTCTCTCTTTTCACAGATGTTTCCAGTGGTCACAACATGTTTTAGTTTCCCTCTTCTCATAACATGACCAAAAAAGGATGACTGTCTCTAATGTTTGTGATATGTTGTCTTCGAGCACTCATCATTTTCAAAACATACGGGTTACATTTCTAAGCTGTCCAAGGAATTCAAATGATTCGTCTATTAAACCACATCTCTGCGACCTCAAGATATTGTTCAGCTTGTTGTTTTATTGTCCAGACTTCACAGTTGAAATTGGCTCTTTATAGCATGCATGAATGCTTTTGCTAACCTACAATAACATGAATTTATTGCACAAAATGTTCTTCATTTTGTAAAATGCAGTTTTGGTCTGTCCTATTCTATTCTTTATCTCTGTGATACATCTTCCATCATATGTTATCCATGTGCCTAGATACTTACATTTCTGTAAGTAAAAAAAAAAAGTAAAGGACCCTTTTCCACGCCTTTATAGGGCATATACGGCTAGACCTATATTTTTATAGACCAATCGGCACAAGATGGGTGTTGTGGTCAGCATCACGCCGGCCGCCTTTACTTTCCCAGGACTGCACCCGGTACCCACTCAAGGCTGGGTCGACCTGGGAGCCAAGGTCATTTTTGAAAAAAGTCCGGCTCCGCCAGGGAGCGAACCCACGACCTTCCGATCCGTGACGAGCGTCTAACCGCTCGGCCACGGCGACTCCCTTACATTTCTGTACTTGTCCTAAAATAATGCCTTTGACTCTATTACGCATTTAGGCACTATTCTTTTCTTGGAAATCACCATTACTTCTGTCTTTCCATTGTTCAAACTGAGGCCCATTTTATAACTTTCTACCACCACTGTATATGTATATCAATGCCTAAAGTCCTTCCTGACTTGTCGCTATCAAGACTGTGTCCTCAGCATAATGCAGGTTTTATATGTGATGACCACCAACCACAATTCTTGACATATCTGTGATAGATCTCATTATATATTCACTGTATACTGAAAATAAATCAGGTGATAGTACACATTCTGTTGTATTCTAAAATATGTATAATTTCTTTTTAAAAGAGCCAGCCTTGATTACAATTGAAATATGCTATTTCTGGACTAAATGATCTTTCTACATTAATTAAGATGAACCGACCTTAGATATAAAATGTATCAGTTCAACTGAGTGAGACATGTTCGGGTAATCAGGTAATCGCAGTTTCACCTTTACAGCAAATGGGTCACCTTATAGCTGCTCTATTCCTGGACCAATGAAAAGCACCGGCAATGTCCGTCTCTGTCCTTGTGGAAAAATTGACACAGACTGCTGTCTCAGCAAATCCAGTAGGATACACACGCACTGAATATATAAGGTAGCCGTAAAAAAAATGCCACCACAAACAATCCAACACTAGAAATGCATTTCATTGTTGATGGAAGCAGCAGTTACAACATACCGATAGTTGCACACACAAGTAATCGCATAAAGCCTCATTAGTTTTCTGCCAACAGGCCACTCACCATTTTCCGATTCTGCAGTTCACAACACAATACGTTGGGTATGGTTGAAATTGAAAAGCATTCCACTTGAAGTCCGCAGTTCGCAGTGACTCACCATGCGCTCATTTCAGTAGCTGGGTGACAGAACTATTCTCTGAGTCTATATAGAGAGGAAAATGCAATGGCTAACAATTGTCTGAAGCAAAAACTTGCCATGACCAAAAAACAGTAACTCAACCTATCCGCCATATTGGCTAGAAGCCTCAGAAGAAACAATACTGACAGATTGTGGGAATGGTGCCTTTTGCCAGATATACTGAGAAACAGAAGATCAGTTATGTGCATCTTCGTACAATGTGGCTGCACTTTGCAAACTTAATCAATACACTGAAGAAAGTCTGATAAGAGAGCATCCAAGAAAATGTATTGACAGTATAAAAAACATTGTACATTTGCAAAGAATGACAAAAGTCACTGCCAACCATCATATGCTACCCCCGGAAACATTTCTTCGCCATCATGCTTGTCAGGAAAAGTGGAAGATGGTGATCTAGGCACTCGCATTGTTTGTAGCTGCCAGATATGTAGCATAGAGGTTAGAAAACGAGTTTAACATTTTCATTATCCTAAACTACGGTGGTTTGATTTTTTTAAATTTTTTTTGTTTAAATCCATTATCAAGGTTTTCAGATGGTTGTATGAGAGTCACACCATGGAATATATTGGGACTCCATCACGTAATATTCCCAACGACGGCAGTGGATACCGTAGCCAACTTCGACTTGTGGAGATTTCATACAAGTTATTGATCATTTAGAGTTCCCAGATGTTAAAGTTAAGAGGACTAACTTCATTGCACCACTTTTTTTTTAACATTATTTCTCGGTCCTTCTCCACAGAACAGCTAGCCGCCTGCAGACAGTGTCACACAAAGCACAAACTCTGTTGCTCCACTGATGATCTCCAAATATTTCTGTAAAAATTGCACTTGGGACCCGAATGATGCAGCCTTGAAACCATTTCACCGTGGAGACCCCAACCCAGACATTAAACAAGTTATTACATAAATACAGACATATTGTTTATCCATGTAAATGAAACTTATTAATTGCAGTCTTTGTGTGGATTCTTTGATGTGAAACGAGTTGTCTTCCTCACTGATGTTGATGGGATATATGATAAACCACCAGACCAGCCAGGTAAGTGTCAGCAACTTTTTGTAGAATTTATTTCCTCGTCGTCGTCTTCTGAAATCCGTTCTTTGTGTTCAGCTGTCCAGGACTTCCTGTGTGGGTTTCAAAACCTCATTTTAGAGGGGGAAAAACAAAAAGACCCCCTGCTACCCTAACAAGCATGTTTTAAAAGATGGTGTTTGCTTCGAAGTGGGAATGCATCTGCCTAAGAGGCAAGGAACCAGCAGTCTGCATATAAAAAGCCAGATCTGTAATATGTACCAATGTGCATGCAGAATTCAAGTTTTGGAACAAGACCAAAGTCAAGAATAAGACGAACAACCAGAACTTTCTGAAAGAGATAACAGTCAGTGAACCCTCTGAGAAACAATGTGAACCCTATGAAAAAGAAGAAGAACTTGCTGAAAACAATTGGAGGGTTGAAGTTCTTTGCAAGAATGCACTTCCTTTTAACTCTTTCCATAGCAGAGGACAGTTAAATTATTTATAAATCAGTGCATGAGTTCCTCCATAGTGAAAGAGTTAAAAATACAGAGATATGGTTTTGTAGAAAGATGCTGAAAATGTGATAAACAAATAACATAAATTCTGAAATATGTCTTGTAACTAATCAGTTTAGAAAACTGGCTTCTTGAATCAGACGTAGAAAATCTACATTCTGTAAAAATGTTATACCTGTCTTTCATTCATTCATTCATTCATTCATTGTCCTATTGTGCCATTTTATGGAGCACAGCCTTTTTCTCCATTCCATTCTATCTTGTGCAGTCACTTTGGTATCATAGGTGGAATCCATTTCAGCACCTTTGGCATCTTTCATCAACATTCACTTTAGAGTTTCTTCGGGACATCCACTTTCCTCAGTCCATCTTTTTCACATTTCAGTGCCTGTATGCTTGCCCTTTTTTTTAAAATCTTTTCTCAGAATGTGTCCAGTATCGTGCTATCTTCTCTCTACGTTTAACTGTTGATAATGTTGATTGCCCGCATCTTTCTCTTTTATCTTCATTTCTCTTGAATTAATCCCATTTTATTTTCATCATTTTACACAGGCATTTGTTTTCAAATGCATTTCACTTTTTTTCCATGAGAAACAGTGAACAGATGAAAGAAGTAGTAAGAGATGTCCTGTCAGATTTGCTTCAGCAATGATTTAGGCTCCTAGATCAACATAGCCTAAAAGGAGTATTCGGCGGTCCTTGTATGTAAATTCGGCCAGTGTTGACCACGTCACCACTGAGTGCTGATTATATAATTATAAATCTTGCGTCATATGCCTGATCAGTCAGTTGATGTAAAAGGAGCTTTAAAGTTTGGTTTTCTCTTCTTCTTTTTTTTTCCACATTTTACGTAGGCCATTAATTTACTTTTTAATATGCATTGGTTTATATTTAATAGGTGCAAAGCTGATGAAGACTATCTCTGTCGGCCATGATGGTTCACTGAAGCATGCCATCTCAACTTCTCAGTCGAAGAATGATGTTACAGGGGGAATTATGCTAAAACTCTCCACGGCAGTGGACATTGTTGTCCAGACAAAGGGGTCGTGTGTGGTTCATGTGTGCAGTGTCGAGTCACCAGCAGCTTCCCGCGTCTGTCTGGAGAGTGGCCAGCACAAATCTGGCGACTTTACAACAGTATACCTAGAGAATCATGAAGTAAATGGAACAGCTTCACCAAACAGTATCTTAAATGATGAAGTCTTGCCAAATGGAATTAATACAGAATAACTGACATCTCTTGATGACAGGTTTTGACCGTCAAAAACATTTGTAATTTCTACATATAAACACAGCATGACAGTTTTCTTCACATGCAATGATTGGCATTCACTGAAGTAGAAATAAAAAAACGCACTGGGGAAAATTATACATCAACATTTGTAAGCCTACTGGTTGATGATAACACCATTTGTTAGTGCTGTTTAGTTTGCCATGCAAATGAAAACAGTCTTTTTCTTAGCATTCACCAGCTGTAAACTCTGGTGGAAAGTTCTGGTTGTTTAAGCAGTTCTGAATTTTGATCTCGCTCCAGAACTGAGTTTTTTTTTTTTTTGGGTGCACATCCATTTTGCATATGTGGCTTTTTTGTATGCAGACTGTTGGTTCCTCACCTCTCAGGTAGAGGCACTCTAAATTCAAAGGAAGAACCCCTAATTAGTGATCTGTTACAACATGCTTGATAGGGAGGCAGTGGGTCTGTCCAGAATGGGACCTCAGAACCTACACAGGAGTCATTTTTAAACTGTGACAGTGGTGCCACCTGTTACTGAAACAGGCTGGTAATGCTGAACAGTGCCGAAGAGTGTTTAAGGAATCCTGCTAAATTTACAATTTGCACACCAATACAGTATTTACATAGATACACAAAATATAAAGCATTACTTTTTGTCATCCATCATACGGGAGGATAACATAAACAGATGGACAAACAGCAGTTACAGAGAGTGTCATCCAGTGTGAAAAACAGAGCATGTTGGAGATCGGTTGCATCCAGCCCTTGTTGCAGACATAGCTCCTGATGGATTGAGTTGGTTAGCACCTGATTGATTGAGTTAGTTAGCTCTTGATTGATTGAGTTGGTTAGCTCCTGATTGATTTGAGTTGGTTAGCTCCTGATTGATTGAGTTGGTTAGCTCCTGATTGATTGAGTTGGTTAGCACCTGCTTGATTGAGTTGGTTAGTACCTGATTGATTGAGTATGTTAGAACCTGATTGATTGAGTTGGTTAGCACCTGATTGATTGAGTTGGTTAGCATCTGATTGATTGAGTTGGTTAGCTCCTGATTGAGTTGGTTAGCACCTGATTGATTGAGTTGGTTAGCACCTGATTGATTGAGTTGGCTATGTATCAAAGCTAGCTGTTATATCAGCAGGGTCGTATCATCATTTAGAGGTTTTACACTCACTGTCTGTACTGCCTGTATTTAGCACTTTTCAGACGGTGTAAAATGTTTGGGGTGGGGGGGGGGGGGGGGGGAGGGGCAGTGAGTGATGAGCTAGAGGATTAAGGGCCATATGTATTGCGTAATTACCACAGACTTTGTGTCAGGCTAGGATTGGGGTATTAGGGTTGGAACAAAAAATATCTCTATTCCTTACAGAGGATTGAACCCAGATCTCCTACATAAGAGCCCTACACATAACCACTTGCATTTTCAAATCCTGGCCGGCAGGTAGCTTTCGGTACATATATTGTATGTTTTATAATCTCTAGTTATTTCCTCTGCTTCAAGTTCTGATTAACACCTGTTTGTGTGTGTGTGCTATCTCAGGGGCTCCACATTGGCTGATACTTTTATGTGTTTTACAGTAACTGCAACTATGTCCACATTTTATTTTAGTTCATAAATTTTGCTTTTATGTTCCTTTCTTGATTCTCTTCTATCCTACACCAAAAAAAATTGCAAATACAATGAATCTGAGGAAGACAAAAAGCGGAGGTGTAATGCAGTAAAGTTATGATTAAATGATTAAAAAAAAGACAAGCTTGTGAACTGAAATGTATTGCAGTACTTTTATGAATATGCTATCTTCTTTGCATTCAGTGGCTGTAAACTCTGACGGAAAGTTCTGGTTGTTCGTCCACTTCTAGACTTTGGTCTTGTTCCAGAACTTGAGTTTTGCATGCGCGTCCATTTTGCAGATCTGGCTTATTTGTATGCAGACTGTTGGTTCCTTGACTCTCAGGCAGAGGCATTCCAACTTCAAAGAAAAGACCCCTAATAAGTCGCCTTTTATGATATGCTTGTTAAGAAGGCAGTTGGGTCTCTTCTTTATTCCCCTGAAATAGGGCCCAGGGATCAACACACAAGACAGCACTTTCTTGAATGTATCATCTTCTTCTTCACGTTTATTGCCTCTAAACTCCTGCAGAAAGTTCTGGTTGTTCATCCACTTCTAAACTTTGGCCCTATTTTAGAACTTGAGTTTTGTGTGCATATCCCTATTACATATCTGACTTATTTCTGTGCAGACTGTTGATTCCTCTCAGGCAGATGCACTCTTAACTGCGAAGGAAACACCTGAAATTAGTTTACTTTTACTGCATGCTTGTGTGTATATTCATTCTCTTTACCCCCACCCCCCCCCCCCCCCCCCCCCCGCCCCACCTTGACCACCACAATGGGTACCCTCAAGCCCCATAGGGAGAACATTCAAATAATTGGAAAAATTAAATTGGAAATGCTGTTGTAAAGTCGGGAAATTGCAATGAATGCACCAAAACAAAAGCAAAACAATGGAATGGTGAGTGTTAACTTTACCAAAACTCCAGCACAGATAGTACAAGGCATTTACTACTGAACTGTTTTTGTCACAGGGTGGGGAGTAGCTAAGGTCTACCGCTCCCTTATTCATCTCTTACAACCTTTACCATATGCTGTATATAAGGAGCATTAATAAAGCATTAATTTTGAATGAGCTGTGCACGACTGTTTGGTTGGTCAGAAAAAGACACTATATGCATTCAGGCAAGCATCTCATTTCTTGGTAGGCGGCAAATGCCTTCCTAAAATTTGCCATGTTTTCTCTCTCTTTCTCTCTCTCTCTGTCTCTTTCGCTCTGTCACTCTCTCTCTCTTTCGCTCTGTCACTCTCTCTCTCTCTTTCGCTCTGTCACTCTCTCTCTTTCTTTCAGTCTGCAGAGCGTCTGGCTGCCTGTTGTAAATGTCACATAAAGCACATACTCTGTAGATCCAGTAATGATCCTAGTGATCTCTTTAAAAAAATGCACCCATGCACCAAACAACACAGTGGGAAAGTGAATCTACTCACCTTTAGAGTGCAAGGCAAACGACTACCGTTTTATCATTGAGACTGAGATTATATATTGATGTAGTTGACTCTCTTTGATGTATATGGACACATTTTTTACTATGTATCTTACCTAATAAATTGTACAAAAATCCTGGGATCCTGTTTTGTTGTGAACGCCATCATCATTGTTGTCCCATAACACTGCGTGTCCTTGGGTCACCAGTTCCTGTTGACTGTTTGATCAGGTTCTTCCACCTTTGATGGTCAGATACGAGGGACTTCATGGTGGCCTGCCTAAGGCCTGCCAGTCAGTCAAATTCTGTATCCAGGTCTTAGTCTCTTCTCCTCTTTCCCTCTATTGAGCCCTGTAGTATTGTTTCTGAGAGGTCGTTAGATCTTATTACATGTCTATACCATTGCATTTTTCGCTGTAGTTTAAAGAGGTTCATAGATGCCTGTGTGTTGAATAATTATGTGGGGAACCTTGTAATGTGGTATGTGTTGTGCTGTCAAAGAGACTGTCATTATGAATGGAGAAAATTGTGCTTTGGTGTGGAAATAGAGGCTCTCATAGGTGATGGCATAATGAGAAGTGTAGGGAATTGTGCAGCATGCAGTGACCAGGGGATCTGGCTGGCATTCTCTACACTCAGAGGAAAAGCGAGATGGGCGCACAGTCAGATTATTGTTGGTACTGTTGAAAATGGTTCGAGCTGGGTAGTTAAAAGTTAATATAAAGTGAACCTGTGACCCTCACAGCTCACGGCAGATGGCTTGACCACTTCGCCAAGGAGAACTTGCGTGGTGACAGCAGCTGGTAGACATATATATTGGAAGAAAGGGTTGCTACACTGAGCTAATCGGTGACCAGGTCATTCATTGGCTCGCCGGTAGACGACTTCGTCGCCAGTCTGAACAGTATTTGGGTCTGTCTCTTTTGATCGCATTAACACTGCAAACAAGCCAAACCACTAACTTCGTCATAATATAGGACGCAATTTTTTTTTAAATTTTCAAGCTCCGCCTTGACTGTTGTTGGGAGCCCTCATATAACCTAACTGTTGAACAGGGATTCTAGGACCTGTGCCCGGGTGATTCTCATCTGAATGGTGGCACTTTGTGTCACCGGTTGTTTATCACTCGTTGTGTGGTCCTGATGGGGTGGAACGTCACTCTCTCTTCACTGAGCTGTCTGGGGTGAGTATGACTTGCACCATGACTTCGTTTTCGGTGTGAAAGCGTGCGTCGACCGCACTCTTGGACCCCATTGCCCATAATATTTTATTGATTAGTTAGTCAAGGTTCAACTACGGACTGGTCGAAGCATAAATGTCCAGTCACACAAAATTTCCTTCACTGTCACATTTGAAAAAATAAGGGGGAAGGGGTGTGTCTTTCCCAGCAGCATCTTGAAGCTTGCACATGCAAAATAAAAACATAAACGGCTGCTGTGAGATGTGCCATCTCTAACAGTTCCCTGCCAGGCCAGAATTGCCGCCCACTGTTGTCGGGAACGGCCAGTCACGAAAGCCATCATTAACCTCTACATTAGTTTATCTCATTTTTAAATAAAACAATTTGACCAGTTGTTACTACCACGGAAGCGTACATATGCCACGATATACACAACAGATAAGATAAACCGTAACATGAAAACAATGGGGTGATATCATATCATAAGACAGAATAGATTTTCATAACTATATTTGAAAAGGACTTTAACAATCCACATTCCATTAATCTGTTGCAATTAATACATAATCTGTACAATATTAAATAACTGAAAATTATCAAACATTAATAAACAGTTTTGAAATAGAGAGGCCGCATGGACTATAATTCCCAATTATAACCCAGAAGGATGGAGCAGATATCGTTGTTTTGCCACCGTCTGTCGAAAGGAAACAAATTGCAATGTACTTCCCGTCCTTTTCAAGACGAAATTTTTCGTTATTTAAAGCCCTACTCTGGCTC